TCATTTGGGGTTTCCCGCGAGCTTGCGGGGTCTGCCGTGCTCCTGTGGGGGAAACGCCAGCGGCGTTCGGGGTACAACAAAAGGCGCGTTTATGTTGTACCTGCGCGCGGTCTGCCGTGCTCCTGTGGGGATTGCCGTGCTCCTGTGTGGTCTGCCGTGCTCCTGTGTGGTTTGCCGTGCTCCTGTGGTCTGCCGTGCTCCTTTGTGGTTTGCCGTGCTCCTGTGGGGTCTGCCGTGCTCCTGTGGGGTCTGCCGTGCTCTTGTGAGGTCTGCGGTGCTCTTGTGTGGTCTGCAGTGCTTCTGTGGTCTGCCGTGCTCATTTGGGATCTGCCGTGCTCGTGTGGTGTCTGCCGTGCTCCTGCGGGATCTGCTGTGCTCCTTGTGTCGTCTCTTTGTTCTGCCGTGCTCCTTTGTGGTCTGCCGTGCTCTTGTGGGGTCTGCCGTGCTCCTGTGTGGTCTGCCGTGCTCCTTTTTTTCCGCCTGCCGTGCTCCTGCTCATTTTCTGAGGACGTCCCGAGCGAAAACGTCATTTTTAACATAAGAGGTTGTAAAACACCTCTGTCGGCATCTCATTTTTTTCGAGGATGTCTCGAGCGAAACGCTCATTTTTCATGCATAACAAAAATTTTTGATATTTTTCAACATCCCGATTTTTTGAGGATGTCTCGAGCGAAACAGTCATTTTTAACATAAGACGTCTTAAACGATAGCCTCCAACACCTCGATTTTTCGAGGATGTCTCGAGCGAAATGGCCATTTTGGGGAACCTGACCGGACAAGAACGGGAAGCGTCCTTTTGTCCCCTGGGCTTATGAGATATTCCACGTTTTTAGTACGGCATACCACAGCAGTGCCACGTACCACTGCCGTGCTCCTTTTGGGTCTGCCGTGCTCCTGTGGAGTTTGCCGTGCGAACGTGTGGTCTGCCGTGCTCCTGTGTGGTCTGGCGTGCTCCTGTTTGGTCTGCCGTGCTCTTGTGTGGTTTGCCGTGATCCTGTGTGGTCTGCCGTGCTCCCGTGGGGTCTGCCGTGTCCTGTGTGGTCTGCCGTGCTCCTGTGTGGTCTGCCGTGCTCCTGTGTGGTCTGCCGTGCTCCTTCTTGGTCTGCCGTGCTCATGTGCGGTCTGCCGTGCTCCTGTGCGGTCTGCCGTGCGAACGTGTAGACTGCCGTGCTCATTTGGGGTCTGCCTTGCTCCTTTGTGGTTTGCCGCGCTCCTGTGCGGTCTGCCGTGCTCCTGTGTGGTCAGGGCACGTGCTTCCTGAGGCGTCTACGGTGCTCTTTTGGGGTCTGCCGTACTCATTTGGGGTCTGCCGTGCTCCTGTGGTCGGCCGTGCTCATTTGGTGTCTGCCGCGCGCCTGTGAGATCTGCCGTGCTCCTGTTGGGGAAACGCCAGCGGCGTTCGGGGTACAACAAAAAGGCGCGTTTATGTTGTACCCGCGCGCGGTCTGCCGTGCTCCTGTGGGTTCCGCCGTGCTCCTGTGGCGTCTGCCGTGCTCCTGTGGCGTCTGCCGGGCTCCTGTGTGGTCTGCCGTGCTCCTTTGTGGTCTGCCGTGCTCCTGTGAGTCTGCCGTGCTCCTGTGTGGTCTGCCGTGCTCTTGAGGTCTGCCGTGCTCATTTGGGATTTGCCGTGCTCATGTGGGGTTTGCCGTACTCCTGTGTGGTCTGCCGTGCTCCGGTGGTCTGCCGTGCTCCTTTGGGGTCTGCCTTGCTACTGTGGGGTCTGCCGTGCTCCTGTGTGGTCTGCCGTGCTCCTGTGGTTTGCCTTGCTCCTGTGTGGTCTGCCGTGCTCCTTTTGGGTCTGCTCTGCCGTGCTCCTGTGGGGTCTGCCGTGCTCCTGTGGGGTCTGCCGTGTTCTTGTGGGGTCTGCCGTGCTCTTGTGTGGTCTGCCGTGCTCCTTTGTGGTTTGCCGTGCTCCTGTGTGGTCTGCCGTGCTCCTGTGTGGCCTGCCGTGCTCTTGTGTGGTCTGCCGTGCTCCTGTTGGTTTGCCGTGCTCTTCTGTGGTCTGCCGTGCTCCTATGGTGTACTGTGCCGTGCTCCTGTGGGGTCTGCGTGGCTCAGTCGTGGTGGGTCTGCCGTCTCCCTGCGCGGTCTCCGTGCTCCAGTGGCGCTGCCGTGGCTCCTGTGTGGTCTGGCCGTGCTCCTAGTGGTCCTCCGCTCATTTGGGGTTTCCCGCCAGCTTGTGGGGTCTGCCGTGCTCCTGTGGGGGAAACGCCAGCGGCGTTCGGGGTACAAGAAAAGGCGCGTTTATGTTGTACCTGTGCGCGGTCTGCCGTGCTCCTGTGGGAATTGCCGTGCTCCTGTGTGGTCTGCCGTGCTCCTGTGTGGTTTGCCGTGCTTCTGTGGTCTGCCGTGCTCCTTTGTGGTTTGCCGTGCTCCTGTGGGGTCTGCCGTGTTCCTGTGGGGTCTGCCGTGCTCCTGTGAGGTCTGCGGTGCTCTTGTGTGGTCTGCAGTGCTTCTGTGTCTGCCGTGCTCATTTGGGATCTGCCGTGCTCGTGTGGTGTCTGCCGTGCTCAACCATATAGTTAAAGAAAAGATATATTTACTCAAGGATTCAGCCAGAACGTCCCGCTTGTTCGGCCGTCTTGAGGGCACTCTTAGGGCATAGTCTGCCGTGCTCCTCGTCTTGGTCTGCCGTGCTCCTCGTCTTGGTCATCCTTTCCGTCGTCTTGAGGGCGCTCTTGGTGCCTGGTCTGCCGTGCTCCTCGTCTTGGTCTGCCGTGCTCCACTCGGTTTCAGTGCCTGGTCTGCCGTGCTCCTCGTCTTGGTCTGCCGTGCTCCTCTCGGTTCCTGCGCGCGGTCTGCCGTGCTCCTGTGGGGAGCACGGCAGACCACAGGAGCACGGCAGACCACACAGGAGCACGGCAGACCACACCTCGATTGTTTGAGGATGTCTCGAGCGAAATGGCCATTTTGGGGAATCCGCCAACGAAAACCCCCGTGCAGCCCCGCAACCCATAGATATAAAGATATATATATATATATATATATATATATTTACTCAAGGATTCAGCCAGAACGTCCCGCTTGCTTCTCGTACCTCGAAGACGCTTCCCGTCATCCGCCAACGAAAACTCCCGTGCAGCCCCGCAACCCATAGATATAAAGATATATATATATATATATATAATATAATATATATATATATATATATTTAAACTCAAGGATTCCAGCCAGAACTTCCCGCTTTGCCCTTCTCGTCCCTCGAGACGCCTTCCCCGTCATCCGCAACGAAAACTCCCGTGCAGCCCCGCAACCTGTTAAAGATATATATATATATAATATACGCAAGATTCAGCCAGAAACGTCCCGTTGCTTTCTCGACCTCGAAGACGCTTCCGTCATAATCCCCGTGCAGCCCAGCAACCCATAGATATAAATATATATATATATATATTATAGAGATATAAATATATATATATATATATATATATATTTACTCAAGGATTCAGCCAGAACGTCCCGCTTGCTTCTCGTACCTCGAAGACGCTTCCCGTCATCCGCTAAGCCTGGTACACCGTGCGGCCCGCCACCCCCTATAGTTAAGAGATCTCTTACTGATATGAGGAGGATTCAGCCAAAACGTCCAGCTCGCTTCTCGTTCCTCGAAGACGCTTCCCGTCATCCGAGAAATCCGCCAGGGGCGTCGAAAGTTTACGTTTATGCTGTCTATTCTTTCTGTACAGGAACGATGCGGGGGCGGCCTCAGGGTCCAGGACCCGTTTCCCTCGGGGCCAGTCTCCTTCATGCCCAGGTCAGCGCTGGCCGCGCGGAACTGGAAGCCCATGAACACCGCCGAGCCGGGCGCGGAAACCCCTCTCGACAGGCTTCTCGCCGCCAGAAGCTGAGGGCGGTCCCTCGGACTCTCTGGGGATGCAGGCGGGACGAGGTTGCGCACCGTAGCGGCGGTTGGCGGCGGGCGGAGGTGGAGAGCAGCCGTGCGGCGCAAGAGCCAGTCGCCGGCGGAGCCTTCGAGGTGCATCTCCCTTTGTGGCACGGCTTGTGAATAATCTTTCGCAGGGGCCGCGCCTTGCAGATGGCAGCGCCCTGCAGTATGCCCTGCAATCGAACTGTGTAGGTATCCCTGTCTGTGCGCCTCCGCGGTTCCGTCGTCTCCTGCTGTTTTGCTTCTCGTCGGTGCGCACACGTCGTGCTCAAGGCACTTGCCCAGCCTGCTGCTCAGCAGTGACTGTATTCCGTGCTGGATAAGCAGATGCAGGCTGTCTCGAACATGAGACGCATGCCGTGAGCGCCTGGCGCGTGTAGAGGAATCCAGAAATTGTTATGGTGCGGGGCGCATGTGCATTTGATGGCGGGCTGGTCCAGCTTGGCAATCCTCGGGGTCGCGCGCAGGCAGCAACTGCAGGCAACCCAGTCCAGCCTCAACATGCCCCCAGGCCAGCCCTGGACAGTCTCAACATCTGGGGTTGCCGCCAGAGGCAGTTGAAGTGTGTTGAGGCCGGCCCAGGCTACCCACCCGGGTATCATGTTGAGGCCAGCCAGGGCTACCCTTGTTGGCTGTCCTGTGCGAAAAGCCAAGTCCTTGCAAGTCCAGCTTGGTAAGTAGCGTTGCCGTCGGACCGTCAATTTGTTTCGCGGCAGAGTTTGCGCACCCGATTCTGCCGACGTCGCCCTGCTGGCTGCTTCCCCGGCTGTGCCTCGGATCGAGGGGCCAAGCCAGGACGCTGGACACCCTGAGCTGGTCTTGCCGCCTTTGCTCCTGCAACTGCAGCACCCAGTGGCACGAGGGCGAAGAGTAGGAGGAGGACGAGGAGGAGATGGCGGTGGAGGAGGAGGAGGAGGAGGAGCAGGAGCACGAGCAGGAGCAAGAGGAGGAGGAGCAGGACCAGGAGCAGGAGCACGAGGAGCAGAGCGAGGAAGTGAAGGAGGATGGGGGAGGAGCAGCAGCAGCCGAAGGAGCACGATGAGGAGGGGGGAGAGGAGGTCGGAGGAAGGCCACGCCGACGAGGCCGAGGCGGCAGCCACTGCGCGCCGGCCTCCAGGCGTGCGCGGGCTGCGACCTGGCGGCCCCGAAGCTGCAGCCGGGGGCGGTGGCGAAGAGGGTGCAGCCGTGCGTGGAGAGGTGGGCGCCTCTCCTGGAGGCCAGCGCTTCGCTCGTCCCGCCTCGTCCCTCCAACTCCTGTTCCTCCTCGTCCTCCTGTGCCTCCTCCTCCTCCTCCTCCTCCTCCCCTCCCTCCCCTCCTCCTCCTCCTCTCCTCCTCCTCCTCCCCCCCTTCCTCCCCTCCTCTCCTCCTCCTCCTCCTCCTCCTTCTCCTCCAGTCCCTTCCGCCCTCCTCCTTTTCCTCGTCCTACTCCTCCTCCTGCTCCTCCTCCTCCTCCTACTCCTCCTCCTGTTCCTCTTCCTACTGATCCTCCTCCACCTCCGCCCTCCTGCTCCCGCTCATGTCCCTTCTCATCTCCTCGCCTCCCTTCGTTCTTCTTCCCCTCGTCTTGACATCGCTCGGACGTGCGCATTTTGTTCGGCGAGGTCGGCGCCAGAAATTCTGTGGACCATCTCGGAGCATCGGGGATCATCTGGAGAGCAAAAAGACACGGTCGAAGTCAAACCGTGCAGGGGGAATGGACGTCCGAGCGATGTCAAGTCGTCCTGCGCTCCTTCTTCGTGTAGAAGGTGATGCTCACCAGGCGCGCGGATGGGGGAGCATCGTCAGCGGAGAGTCGTGTCTCGTGTCTTCTCCTTCCCTCCTTGCTCCCCCTCCCTCCACCCCTCGCAGGGTGGCCTGTTTTTCCTAAGGCGCGCTCCTCCTGCTCCTCCTCGTCGTCCTCCTTCCTCCTCGTCCTCCTCCTCCTCCTCGTCCTCCTCCTCCTCATCGTCCTCCTCCTCCTCGTCGTCCTCCTCCTCCTCGGTCCAGCTTTCCCTGTGCCGCTCCCCCTCTCCGGGGCTTTGTGGCTTCCCCCCTCCTCCACTGCCCCCTCCTTTTCCTCACCTTCCCACCCTCGCCTCCTCCTCCTCTACTCCCCTCCCTCCTCCCCCTCCTCCCGGCCTTCTCCCTCCTCCACACCCCAACTTCTCTTCGTCCCCCCCTCTTCTTCCCCTCATCCTCAGCATTTCCCCTCTTCCTCATCCTCCTTCTCCTCCTTCCTTCCTCCTCCTCTTCCTCCTTCTCCTCCTCCTCCTGCTGCCCATGCTCTAGCCGCAAGGCATGAGCCTCCTCCTCCTCCTCCTCCTCCTCCTCCTCCTTCTGCTCCTTCTCTTCCTCCTCCCCCTCCTTCTCCTCCTCCTCCTCCTCCTGCTCCTCCTCCTCCTGCTCCTCCTCTTGCTCATTATCCTCGTCATTATAATCAGCATCAGCATCAGCATCAGCATCAGCGTCAGCATCAGCATCATCATCATCATCATCATCATCATCATCATCATCATCATCATCATCATCATCATCAGCATCAGCATCAGCATCATCATCATCATCATCATCATCATCATCATCATCATCATCATCATCATCATCATCATCATCCGCATCATCCGCATCCTCATCCTCATCATCATCCTCATCATCGGCATTTCTAGCATCGTCGTCGTCATCATCGTCGTCGTCACCTCCATCATTATCATCAGCAGCATCAGTATCATCATCATCATCATCATCCTCATCCTCATCCTCATCCTCATCATCATCATCATCACCATCACCATCAGCATCAGCATCAGCATCACCATTATCATCATTCTCATCATCATCCTCATCATCCTCATCATCATCATCAACATCATCATCCGCCTCCCCTGCTCTCCAACCATCAATTTTCCGTCCATGTATCCTCATGGTTTTCCTCGCCTTGTTCGGGCGCCCATTCTCGCCATATCTTGCCGTCGTCTCTCGTCCACGCCACTGCTGTGCGTGCCATCGCCTCCAAGCAACGCACCGTCCTCCGCGTCGAGCCACTCCTCGCTGTTGTTGTTATTGTGTTGTCCCATTTGTTGCTGCATGGTGGCGGGGGAGGACGATGGGGGCATGGGTAGTGGGGGCAGGGGGGGGATGGGGCAGAGGAAGGGGCGGGGAGGAGCTTTGAGGGGAGCTCGGCTGTGCGAACTGCGTCCGGGCTGCTGCTGATTGCGGTGTCCAGGTCCTCTTCGGCAAGATCGACGACGTACTGGAGGAATGTGTTATTTTGGCGCTAACCGTGTCGAGATCCCAAGGGCTGCACGGATAACTTGCAATTGAAGCTCCTACCCTTTCTCCTCCCCGACCGCCCGTCCGATCTGCCTCTTTCATATCTCCTCACTCCCCCCTCCTCCGCCCTTCTCTCTGCTGTTAGCTCGCAGGGGTGCGTGCGATGATCTGCATGCAAACCATGTGTATCAGAGAGAGAGAGAGAGACAGACAGACAAATAGAGAGAGAGAGAGAGAGAGAGAAAACGAGAACGAGTAAGAGAAACATATATATATATAGAGAGAGAGACAGAGAGAACGAACACACAATATAAAGAACAAGCTGTGCACCACAAGATCAGTCGTGAGCGAGGACCGGGGGGGCGCTGTTGCGATACGTTGCCCAATCAAGTATCCAAGCCTATCTTCGAGATCACTGCCACGAACTGTCTCATTCCTCGAATCGTGTGCGTATGTGTATGTAGCTATGTCTGTGTTTAAATGTATGTATGGATATGCTTACAAGCATCTGTGTATATATACACGCTCTTAGACTGGTTTTTCACTATAAATATAGATATGTATATGTATGTCATAGTATCGCACAGCAGCGCCCCCACACATATATTATGGGTGTACTTACAGAGCATATACAGCTCTGTTTAGCCTCCCTCACTCGCATGCATGGTCTTCCTCGCCCCCTCGCCTTTCTCCCTCCCCCTTCCCTTGCCTCTCTCCCTCCTCCCTCCGTCCTCCCTCGCCTCTCTCCCTCGCCTCTCTCCCTCGTCCCTTCCTCCCTCCTCTCCCTCCTCCAACTCTCCTTCCCCCTCCTCCCTGGCCTCTCTCTCTCCCGCCTCCCTTCCTTCCCTCCTTTCCACCTCCCTTGCCTCCCTCGCCCCACCCTCCCTCTCTCCTCGCCTTGTCGTCGCCCAGGGACTTCAGCTTGATCTCCTGCTGCTTGTTGGCCCTGCACTGCGCGCACGTCCGCACGGCCGCGAACGCCTCGACAAGTAGTGGGATCTCAGCCAGCGGCCTGACTGGCCCAGTCTGCGACCCGGCTCGCTTGATGCTGATCGGCACGTCATCTAGCAAGAACTCCCTCAGGGTCACGGGGTGCTCCTGTCGCACGCCTCGGCTTTGAACTGGTTGACGTGCGTGGTCCGCCTCGCCTTGCTGATCTTGCGGTGCTGGCGTCGGCGACGCTGGCACTGGCCTTGCCGCTGGCTCCTCGGCTTTCCTGCGTTCCTCCACGCGACGTTGAACTCCAGCAGGTATCCGACGCTTACCTGAGTCCTCCAGCACGTCGTCTTTTCTCGTCTGCTTGAGCTGCAGGTCCTTCTGCGTAGCCTTTCCCTGGCCACCTCGTCTCTCTTCTCTCTCTTCTCCTTCGGTTGCTCCGGCTCCTCCATCGCTGCATCCTGATGTCCAGCTTGAGCTGGGGGCTGCACAGCTCCACCTGGGTGTGGTCCAGCTTATTCCTCCTTCGAGGTAATCGCCTCAATCGCGGTGATGGGCTGGGTCGATACCAGATCATCGAAAACTTGAGGGTCGATGGCCCAGTCTTGCATCGAAAGATCCTGACCAGATCCCGCGTGTCCAAGTTGAACAGCCTCCTCCTCCTCTCGATCTGGTACTCAGGCGCCGCGCTTGGAAGTAGCGGTCCATGGGTGACGCTCTCCAGCTGCCGCAGGTCAGTCTTGCTTTGATTGCTGGCCGCCGCTGCTCCAAGAATCGCGGCCCAAGCCTGATGAGCTCGCCGTAGTCGGACTCGAAGGTCTTTCTCATCTGAATCTTGATCAGCCGGCTCTGGCTCGTAATTGTTTTCTAGCCTCTGCCGTATCGGCATGCCGTCGTTGTCGTGAACCACCGCCGAATTCAGTTTCATGCTCTTGTCCATGTCCGCCGCCGTCTGCTCGGTCTTGATAACACCACCTTGAGTTGGTAGTGCTGCTGGTGCTGCAGCTTCCTGCCGTGCTCCGGCTGGCGGTGTTTGATGTGGGACCTCTCCATGTGGTTATTGTTCTGGGTGGTGTCGTTAGTCAGTTGGTTTCCGTTCTGGAGGTCGCTGATATCGTTGCTGATCATGTTGTTGATGTGCCTGCTGATCTCGCTGCTGTTCATCACGAGCTGGACTGTACTGTTTGCCGCGTAGGTCGATAACAACTCGTTGACGTACTCGTCCACACTCTGGTCCACCGTCTGAGAATACGTCGGTAAACCGCATCGCGTTCACCTCGTTCTCCGTCTCTCTGCGGAGTGGGCTCGGTGAACTCAAGATGGAGATCCGATTGTGGATAAGCCAGTATCCATGCTCGTCCTTGCCCAGGCACCGGGCATGTCCATGCCATCTTGCACGCAGGTTCCATTTAAGGTTGTCCGATCTCCAGACATGAGTAGATCAACTCGGTGACATGGCCTCGGCTGCGGCCTTGTCCTTGCCAGCGTTGCACGTCGCAGTGCTGATGAGTTCGCAATTTGAAGAAAGCCTCTGAACACATCTGCTGTAGGTGTAGCCGTTTTCAAAATGACGCATTCTCCACCACTCCTGAAACCACCACTGGGGGTCTTTGTCTGGCTTAGCCAGGCTCGCTGGTAGTCGATGTCCAGCTCCCAGCGCCCACTGCTGTGGTGAGAAGCCTGCTGTACTCACCAGCTGGTGGCAAGCGTTCGCCATGCCACGTGCCGCTGCTGCAACAGAGTCCCGACCACGAACTTTCCCAGCATTGAAGATACTCGTCGCCATCTTCGCCAGGATTCGCACCTTCCGCTCGACCTTGCCCACATGCCAGTGGACCTCGGGGGCTACACTGTTGATGACTAGCCCCAGGTCGTTGCACAGCACCTCAAACTCGCCCATGAAGTTGTAGTCCTGGCCCTGCTCGACTACCCAAGGTTGTCCAGCCCAAGTAAGCCGTCCGAGCTTGCAAGCATTATTCGCTAACGTGGCCGTCGGTGTCGATCCAGGGCGCACGTGCATCGCCACTGTCAAGTCCGATGCAATGCCCAGGAGCACGAGCACCACGTGCATGTGTTTGCCGAGGTCAGGTGTGATCATGGAACCCATACTGCTGGTTTCGTTTAATTCCTTGACCTTTGGTTGTGCTGCAGTTGGCCGCGCTGTTGTGCGAGCCTGCTCTTTGCATGTCGTGCATCTGAACAATCGTGCTGCTTGAACTGCTCGTCGGCTCGCTGCGCCATGCTGTAGGCACCGAGCCAATGACTCCTTGTAGGGTCCATGCGAATGGCTCTCGTGTATCTTCTTAATCGCAGCACGCAGTAGTTGTGATACTGCTGCCCAGTCTGCCATCTCGATGTTCTCGCCATGCTTGCTGAAGATCGCCGCCGCACTTGCGTGCATAGGTGCCTCGGCTTCTGCATGGTGGGCCTCGATCTCCTCGAAGTTGTTGGCGTGCCTGGCGTAGCCGCCGTGCTGCTTCTCGAGGTACTACTGGTCCCTAATGCCGTCCGCGATCGACTTGGCTAGCTCGGCCGTCCAGTTGCCAAGCCTTGATGCCGTTCCCTCCGGCCTGTTGATCACGCTAGTGTAAATGTGCTCACCGTCGCGCGTCACCTCGTTGAACATCTTGCTCAGCATGATGGCCGTCGGCAGAAACCAGGTCGGCATCTTCATTGGATCGACCATGAAGTCCACCAATTTGCTGCCCTCGGCGCACTGGAGCATCATCGCCTCCACGAACTCAGCTCCGAGCCATTGCATGAGCTGCCACGCCTTGGAGGTAAGATGGTTACACAGTTGCATAGTTGTTCCTCGACGTTTGCAGTTGATCCAGATTTCTTCGCGGTCTGCAGGCGCTTCATGCTAATGGCCAGTGTATACATCTTGGTCGATTTCAGGAACATGTGGGGTATGTTTCGGGAACGGGTCGCATGGAACACCAACCGCTGTCATGTAGGGGTTCTACTCGTTGAGCTGACTCATAACCTCGTTCTGCATCTTGATGTCCAGACCGTCGCTGCCGATCATGATGCCCCTTGGTCTGGACACAGGGCGTCTTCTCATCTGAGCTTGCGAGGTCGTCGCCATACCACCTGCATAGAGCTCGCAGATGATGGGCCGCTTCTCCTCTGGGTCCGCCTTTGTTCCCACGATCTGCTGACGGTAATCCAGCTTGTCCTGGATTTCCCTCTCCCGTGTCTCGATCTGTTTGCGCCCCTTGCGTCGTAGGATGCCTCGATCGACCTCTTAAACTTCGGCATTCCAGATGTCAATCTCGTCTGTCGTTGTTACTGATGGTGCTGGCTTGGTCGTTACCTTCTCTGGCCAACCCTTCAGTGAGATAATCAGGTTTCCCTCCTCGGTCTTGTTCAGGGGTACCTGGAACTTATCGAGGGCCCTGAGGTCCGCCTTACTGCCCTTGCGGTCACCTCCTTTTCCCTTTACGCCATGATAGGGGCGTTGCTGTTCACGCCTCTGGACCTCGCCGATGATCCTCTCATCCTGGTGGTTACTCTGTCGTCTTCGGCACAGTTGTCCAGAGCCATTGAGCCTCCACATCCCCGTAGGCATGCGGTGTCCAGTACAGCGTGTCTGTCAGGCACGAGTTCTTTCCGCACAGCGCAGGCTTCAATATCGTGGAACTCGTAGTTGTCCCTCTTTCTCGGCGATGGTTTGGCATCGCTCGGACGTGTGTATTTTTTCTCGGTGAGGACCATCGAAGACCATCCTGGACCATCGAGCAAACAAACGCACGACACCGAAACATGCACGGGAAATGGACGTCCGAGCGACGGCAAGATGGGGTTGAATTGCATACTCAGACTCAGAGGTTGCCTCTGCTCGCCGTCCCGTCCATGACCAGGCAGGTCGAACTCCATGAGGTAGTCGCTCGCATGCACCCCTCACACTCTCTCGAAGTTCTCGTGATGCATCCCATGACTCTTGACACCCATTATACTCCAAGTTATACATCCCAGTCGGTGCCATCTCCATCGTGATGTGCGCCAGATGGCTCAGTCGGTGCCTTGCCTAGTCCACGCGCACTCCATGAAATCCCTGTAGGCCTGATCCACGTTACCGCAGCTGATCCACGGGGCTGAGATCTGCTTCGCCCTCGTCTTGATCCTCTGAAGCTCTGCCTCTGTGGTGCCGTCCCTGGATAGTCCGCATTTGATATTCTTGGCCACGTTCTGTTGTCTGAATTTGCTGTCGAATCTCCCTCTGGCTCTTCAGGTCCTACTGGTAAGCCAGCCTGTAATTAGTACTGTTGGTGATCCATTGCGTCCAGTGCCCAGTGCTTCTTGATCTCCATGTCCCTCGTGATCACCATCCTCGTCAGGTCGTTGATCTCCTCCATGGTCGCGTCCATGGTGGCCAGCTGATCGTTGGCCATCTGGATGGCTGCGAGGTCCATAGAGCTGCCCGCCATGAACTCGCCGTTGCCATCGCAAAGTCAGCTCGACGCAGAAAACTTACAGGTCGTCCTTGAAAGCCTCCATGTCCACCGCGTCCACGCCGCTGGAGGTTGCTCGAGCTGTTGCTTGATGGCCTCGTCTTCTCGCACTCTGGATCACCCTTCCAGTAACCCTTCATGCCGCCTTCCTTGCAGTTCGTGCTCGGCCTCCTTGTTATCCACCTTGATGGAGCCGGTCTTGTTGATGTTGGTCTTCAAGCCACGATTCGCATCGTTCTGAGCTTGCCGCTCCCGGGCCTGCTTGTTGTTGGGCCTGTGGTTTCGGCGTCCAGCCTTCCATCCCAGTCGTTGAGCCTCTGCTGCTAGGGCATCGTGCCTCCTGGCTGATCTCATCGGCGTCCACGTCGCCGATGGCTCCCTCGAGCTCGTCGGCGTCTGCAACCAGGGCCTCGTAGTCCGAGTCGCCCCGTCGTCGCAGGGTCCACATTGATCTCCCAGTAGAGCATCTTCTTCATCCTCGTAATCTGCTGCGTAGGCGTCATATCATCCATGTCCACGATCTGCTCGACCGGCGCTGTCTGGCTGAATTCGTCTTGCTGTCGTCACGTCGCCCCATTATGTGTTCGTTGTTGTACTGTCCGGGAGTTGTTGCATGCTCGGCCATGCTGAGATCCGCCAACTTCAACGGAAAGTATGTTCGCAAGTCCTCGCTCACCGTAGTATTTGCCGATAGCGATTTCAACCTATGATCCCGATCGATGTCTGGAGCCTTTGAAGAACAACTCGTCGAATGTTTGCGGCTTCTGTAGTGGTGCGATCCTCTCAGAGGCAGTCCGAACCGTCGCCACCACCACCTGCGTTGCAGCAGGTAGCCCATCACCTGCTCTTTCCAGAACTGCATGAGTAGTGATGTCGGTCTTCTTACGTGTAAGATTCCACGCTCGTCCATTGAGTGAGTTCTTGAGCTTAATGGCATACAGCTTCTGCATCTTCTTCTCATTCGCATGGTAGCCCAGTGTCGCTCTCTCTTCAAACTCCTCTCCGTTTGCCTGGTCGCCGTTGTAGTGAACTACGCCCTCCTTGTCCACGAACAGGGGTCCGTCCTGAAGTTGCTCCTTGAACGTCGTCATCTTCTCGAATCTTGTCTGACTCGCGCTGCACTCGGTGTAGCTGATATTGTCGTCGCCCGGGCTGTAGCTACCGATATCGTTGCTCTCGTCCAAGTTGATGGTGATGCCGCTGATGATATGGAATGGTAGTGGTGAAGCACGAACGCGAGTATGTTAAGCGTCAACACGCAGGTTTCCACGGCCACTTTCTTTGAACTCCTCGCAGACGCAGAACAGAAATTGCTCGCGCTACGGGTTTAAATGTTAGTCGCAATATCAAACCCACAACTCCTAATTCAAGAGACGCGGTGCGCCCAACCTCCCGCCCAGCTTCTGAGCCGAATGGTTATGGGCGAAATGAACACTGAGCAAGAGCGAGAGAGAGAGAGAGAGAGCAGCAGCAGCGAGCGATCAGCCTCTTATTATCACCCCTTCATATTTCACCTTTCTCTGCTCCACATTTCACAAGAATCACTCTCGTCTGTCGGCAGGGGTGGACCAGGCCCACGATTTCCGATCGCTGTTTCTCTGGGCGGGATGGGCCAGAAGAGCACAGAGTAGCCTACTCAAGGCATGAGCTCTCGGAGGCCCGCTTGGAGCCCCCAGATGCATGTAGCCCTTTCGCTCCCCCCCGCCTCCCCCGGCGGAGGAGGAGGAGGCGGATGAGAAGGAGGAGGAGGAGGACGACGACGAGGAGGACGAGGAGGAGGAGGAGGAGGAGGAGGAGGAGGAGGAGGTGGAGGAGGAGAACGAGGAGGAGGAGAACGAGGAGGAGGAGGAGGAGGAGGAGGAGAACGAGGATGAAGAGGAGGAGGAGGCCCCCGCTGAGGGGCCAGACGCCTTGGAAGTGGGCATCGTCCCTCGGGCGCCCCGGGCTCTCCCCCTTCCGCCCCCGCCCCGGGTGCGCCCACCCCGGCCAGCCAAGAAGAGAGGCAAGGACGCGTTCTGGCGGCCGGCGTCGCGAGCGGGCGGGAGGACCCACCACTGTTTGGAACGCCGACGTTGGCCGTCTCGAGGAGGAGGAGGAGGCGGAGGAGGAGAAGGAGGAGGAGGCGGAGGAGGCGGAGGAGGAGGAGGAGGAGGAGGTGGTGGACAAGGGAGGACGGAGGCGGTGGAGCAGCTCACGAGGGAGAGGCGAGCAAAGACGCCTCCGAGGGCGCCGACACCGTCATTCACGGCATCGAGGAGGGCATCGAGGCCTGCCAGGCACGCGCCCGATGCCCGCGCCCTCGCAGACCGGGGATACATGAGCCATTCCAGAAAGAGCCTGCTGTTCCTCATCAACAAGCATCCTCCCTCCCGAGGGACCCTGGCATCTCTGCGCCGCGAAACATCGCGTTGGAGTTGCCTTTCCCAGTTTCCAATCCCAGGGGCAGTTCTTGAAGGATAGGGGTAGCTAACACCCGCACACATGTACATATATAGTTGTACATATGCATATATATATATATATATATATACGTGTGCATGTGTGTAAACATGTATATGTGTAGATCTCGTGATGTGTTCACGATGCATGTGCCCCCATTGATACCGGAGAATGTGAGTGCATGATATTGCTGCCTCTTCCCGCTCTGGATTCTTGTGCACGAGCCCGCATGTTGTTTCGTCTTGGTCTTTCGTCTACTCCACATCAGCCTGCTATGTAATGGGCATCATGCGTTGTGGGTTCCTCGCACTCGTTCTCCTCCTTCGTATACTTCTCGTTGTAATCCTCCTCTTCCTTATGCTACTCTCTTTGTAGTTCGTTGTCGTCCTCGTCGTTTTCTTCCTCCTCCTCCTCCTCCTCATCCTCCTTATACTCCTCATCCTCCTCCCCCTGTTCTTCCTTCCTCCTCGCTCCCCCTTCCCGCCCCTTGCCCCGTCTCTCCTCCTCTTCCTCCTCCTCCTCCTCCTCCTCCTCCTCCTCCTCCTCCTCATTCTCGTCTTACTCCTCCGATTCCTCCTCTGCAGGAGGAGGGTGGGGCAGGAGGTTGGGAGGAGGAGGAGGAGGAGGAGGAGGAGGAGAAGGAGGAGGAGCAGGAGGAGGAGCAGGAGGAGGAGGAGGAGGAGGGAGGAGGAGGGGGAGGAGGGAGGAGCACTTCCCGCCCACCTGCAGCCGGGAACTCCCGGGGGAGGAGGGGGAGGGGGGGGAGCCCGGCGCTCTGCCACACTCCCAGGTCTCTGCGCGTCCGGGCGGGCTGCGGGGGTTGGGCCCGGAGGGGCAGAGCGATGACGATGGTGATGATGATGATGATGATGATGATGATGATGATGATGATGACGATGATGACGACGACGATGATGATGATGATGATGATGATGACGACGATGATGATGATGATGATGAGGAGGAGGATGATGATGATGATGATGACGAGGATGATGATGATGATGATCATGAGGAGGATGATGATGATGATGATGATGATGATGATGATGATGATGATGATGAGCATGATGATGATGATGATGATGATGGCCTTGGTGATGGTGATGATGATAATGAGGATGAGGAGGAGGACAAGGATGAGGTTGAGGATGCTGATGCTGATCAGGATGAGAAAGATGGGATCAAGATGAGGATGAGTATGAGGATGATCATGATGGTGGTGATGATGGTGGTTCTGACGATGATGGTGATTGTGATGATGATGGTAGTGATGATGCTGATGATGATGGCGACGATGACGATGATGACGATGATGGGAAGCCAGAGAAGGAAGGATGAGGAGGAGGAGGAGGAGAAGGGAGGTTGGATTGATGATAATGATTATGATTATCCAGATGCTTCTGCAACTGCTGATGATGATACCGATGTTGATGCTGATGCTGATGAGGATGAGGATGATGATGATGCCGCTGTTGATGATGCTGATGATAGTGATGATGATGCTGATGATGATGATGCAGCAGCAGATGATGATGATGATGATGCTGATGCTGATGATGATGATGATGATGATGATGATGATGATGATGATGATGATGATGATGATGATGGCCTTGGTGATGATGGATGATGATAATGAGGAGGAGTAGGACCAGCATGAGGATGAATGATGATGAGGATGGTGATGATGATGTGGAGGAAAGGAATGAGGCGGCGGAGAAGGAGGAGGAGGAGGGATGTTGGATTGATGATGATGAGTCTGAGTATGCTGCTGCTTGTGATGATGCTGATGCTAGAGGAGGAGAAGGAGGGACAATGACGGAGGTTGGAGGGGGAGGAGGTGGACGGAGGAGTGGGAGGATGAGGAGGAGGATGAGGAGGAGGTGGAGGAGGAGGAGGAGGAGGAGGAGGAGGAGGAGGAGGGGAGGAGGAGGAGGAGGAGGAGCAGCAGAGGAGGATCAGCAGGAGAGGAGGAGGAGGGAGGAGGAGGAGGAGGAGGAGGAGGAGGAGGAGGAGGAGGAGGAGTAGAGCGAGCAGGAGGAGCCGGAGGAGTCAGAGGGTTAGGAGCAGGAGCAGGAAGAAGACGAGGAGGAGGATGCGGAGGAGGAGGAGAAGCAGGAGGAGCCGGAGGATTAGGAGCAGGAGGAGGAAGAGGACGAGAAGGGGGATTCGGAGGAGGAGGAGGAGGAGGAGATGGAGGAGGAGGAGGAGGAGGAGGAAGAGGTTGAGGAGGAGCTGGAGGAGGGGAGCTGCAGGAGGAGGAGGAGGAGGAGGAGGAGCTGGAGCAGCAGGAGGAGGAGGAGGAGAAGAGGATATGGGAGGAGGGATGGGAATTGAATTATGAGGAGGGGGAGGAGCAAGAGGAGGGAGGATATGAGATGAGATGAGTCAATCACTGAGTGATGAGAGTTACGGAACACAAGAGAGCAACATGTAACGTAAGGAAGAGAGGCAAAGGGGCGGTGGCGGTATTGGTAGTAGAAGTGCGGAGGCGCGCGCGCTCCCAGCGCGTGCAACTCCACCGACCGCCGCCCCTCCTTACGTGTCCTCTCGCCTGTCTCTCCTGGCTCTCTCGGCGCGGCTTCAAACCTTAGGCCACTTACTCTGCTGTTTGAGTTTAAGGTGCTGCGCACACGTAGGACTGGGGTGGTTCGCACAAGCCGACCTGAGGTTCGAACTGAGCAACTGCTGACATAGGAAACCGCAGGATACGCAAAACCAGAGGTCAAGAGACGCATGGTATTGCTTAGTGTGACTACTCTGCACCCACCCCCCCAGCTACATGAAAACGAGCACCCCCTGGGAGAGCAAATGACGCACCCCCGAGCGATTTTAAACGAAAGCGCTGCCTATTACGCCACTCGGTTGGTGCAGCTGACGCTTGGCATCGCTCGGACGTGTGCATTTTTCCTTCGGCGAGGAGCATCGAGGAGCATCCTTGATCATTTGTCGAAAAAACCACGCACGAAACCGAAACCATCACGGGGAGTGGGCGTCCGAGCGATGGCGAGAACGTGGCCGAGCTCCTGCACACTGTGCAACTCTTTCCGCTGCCGGACAAGGTGTGGGAGGAGTTACTCCAGAGTTCGTAATAAAAGGGGGGGGGGTCTGGACCCTCCAAGACAAGCCATTTCAGACCCCCCCCCCCCCGTGGGAGAAACCTCCCAAACATCGTCCCCAGACCCCCCCCGGCCCTCCAAGATAGCCTGGAGGAGACCCCCCCCGAAATGGACGAAAATATAGGAAAAGATTGGGAATATGTTTATTTGTGTGTATTTATTTGTGTGTCCTGGGGCCCCTTCAAAGGTGTGGGGGGAGTAAGCACAGAGCACTGGAGAGGGCCCCGGAGGCTGGGGAGTGCGACTACGCTCAGGCGTTCGGCCCGCAGGGCCAAGTTCTCTCTCTCCTTCTCGATCGCCTCCAGACTGGGTTTCCAGTAGGCGATGTCTACTCCAGATTTCGTAATAAAGGGAAGGGGGTCTCATTTCGGGGGTGGTCTCTTCCAGGCTATCTTGGAGGGCCTGGGGGGTCTGGGGATGATGTTTTGGAGGGTTCTCCCACGGGGGGGGGGTCTGAAATGGCTTGTCTTGGAGGGTCCAGACCCCCTCCCTTTTATTACGAACTCTGGAGTAACCAGGAGTGCTTTCTGCTCAACGGACGCTACTCGATGGCGGGTCTGCTCGCCCACTCGGGCTCCGTTGGCGGCAATTTCGGCGACTGCGCCGGCAGCATGATGACCGAAAACAAAGCACTCTGGGAATCTTCGTGTACACAGCTGCCCCGTCAAGATGGGAATCGACAAGACAACACTATGGCCTCGACATCGTTTTTCAACCTCCTTACCTATCCTGGCCCAGATGTCCGCGTCTGGGCCAGACTGACGCATGTACACATCTTGATACCAGCCGTTGACCACTGAGAAATTGTCCGAACCAAAAACAATAAACCCAGAGCTGAGCTGCAGCGCCAGCAGCAGTGCCGTGAGCTCCCCTCTGCCCACAACCTGGCGGTGTTCTGCAAGCGGGCATGCGAGTGTTGCGCGGACTGGGAAATCAGGATGGGCACTTGGATCTGGTGCCACTACCAATCCAACTCCAACTCTGCGGAGACGTGGATCGGACGACTCGCGGCCGCCACTTGCGTCCCCGGAGAAATGTAGCGGAGCTCGTTGTGTGCCTTCACCCGCGACGCTTGGCAGAAACTCGTTCCACTCACCTGAGACGTTCCAATCCTCGTCCAAGGCTGGAGGGGCAACTGCAACCAACGACAGCTGTCTCCCACTGCGAGGGAGCCTCCAGTACGTACTGCTCCGTCTTGTCGCGGGCAAGCGACCCGCCATGAAACTCACACCCCCATGCACGATGGAACGCCGTCCCGGGAAGCTTGTCACAACGTGGGCAAGTGGCTGATACACAGTCTGGCTTGAAAGCTCGCCTGCGCTCTCTCGGCCAAGTAGCTCGTGTTGCCACCGTGACTGTGAGCTCAGCAAGTCTGCGCCCATGTGAGACATCGCTCAACTGGCGAAGGAGGCCAATGTAAGACTGCATATCAACGCCATCCTGCGATCCTTGCCCGCAATAGTGTTTGCTCGCTGCCGTCCCTAAAAACTTCTCACGATCCTCACGCAATTCTCTGATCAAGTCTCTGGAAAGATCCACCCGTTTGCCTTCGACAAAAATATCAGGGGGAAAGTTCCAGTCGACCTCAGAGCTGTCGTCTGCTGTTGGTCTCGTCCAGGACTCAGCGGGTGTGGGGTTCCATCCAGTCTCCAACAAGTAGGAGATGACAGCACCCATAGGCCCTCTGATGTGGCGTGTGCGATTTGAAACCTCGATGTCACGAAACTTCTTGACTGCACTGGGCCACGCCAACCTCACGGCATCTCGAAATTGAGTTCCCTCATGGGCCCACAGCCGAAACCACAATTTGAGACAATCCGATGCCATCGCGATGATTGGATCACCTCTTTCGCCCTGGAGGGCCAAGAGGGTGGTGAGACAGTTTCCTGTTGATGGCGCTGCGCAAGCGTGGCCCTGCCGTCTACGAAATTCTTTGGGCGCATATCCAAACGCACCATGAATTTGAAGGGCATGCGGTCCAGCTGCAAACGATCATTGGCGTTCTATCCTGGGCGTGACTCGATATTTTTTGAAGCTCGGGCATGTCTGGGGATCTTGGCACTCATTAGACCTGACTTGCACAACCTTCGGCGTCGCGCTGCTCTGGCATGGCGGCGACCCCCCCCCCCCGAGATCAGCTCCAAGATATGCAGCTTGAGCTTGTGCCTAGATAGTGAAGCCTGCCCTGCGCACAGTGCGAACGACATGCTTGGCGTCGGCCACGTGGGTGCACAATGCTGCTGATTTGGCTGCGATCTGTAATGTCTGCTTGCCAAGTCCTTCACGCGTCTCGATGAGTACTTTACCCAACACCTGCCGTAACTTATGCCTCGGACATCTGACAATCTGCGGGAGGTAGTCTATCCATGTGCGACGCGTGAACTGGGGGCGCATGGTGGCGATGGCCCCCAGCACAAAATACATTATGATACGGGCAAACCTTGTGCCCGATCGCAAGCCTTGGACAATGTTCCGAGCGGGTGCAAGCGGAGCCGCGTAAGCCCCGCCCTGCCCGAGCGCGCGTGGGGTTGCGCACTGCTGGACATCCAGCTCGAGAATCATGGGCGAAAGACCCACCTCGAGCGCACCGTCGACGAGGATGTCCCACGACACGGCGTCGTAGAACCCCTTGTTGTCCAGCAGGCCGTAGCTCATGGATTTGGATAGGTGATCCGCAAGTTCTTCAACCGATACTCTCAAACATGTTTCTCCATGGGCAGCGTTGCCTGCCGCGGCTGCGTCCCAGGCGGGAGTTTGCTGCTCCGCCCATTCCGACACTTCTGGCTCTCGGCACATGGACCACATGCGAGCGAACGCGGTGAGGGTGCCAATGATTATGTCTCCTGCCCCCTTGTGCTTAGGCGCCATGTCTCCAATGGCGAATTGAGTCTGGGCAGGCCAGGCGAGGACCGACTCCATGGACTCAAACGTACTGATCAGTTCAGCCAGCGCGGGGTCTGGGAGGCGCTCCACGTCCAGAGATTAGAGGCGATCAACTCCCTGACCCAACTGCGGCCTCATCTTCCCGGTCGCTGTCTGGACGCACTCTGGGGTGAGGTCGGACAAGATTTCGTCTTCAGTTGCATATCTACTTCCGCAAACGCTCGTTCTAGCCTGGCGATGTCCCTTATCTCAGGACACCAAACATATTCCCACTGCTGCTTTTTGTGATCCATGATATCAGAAGGGCTGTGTACGAGCTGCCCATTGACAACGATCCCCTGCTGGACGAGAGGTTTGTCTCGACTACTGCGGTGGAGAGCGCCCAGACCTTCGGGAGAACCAACTCATTCTTTGAAACGACACAGAGATGCTTTGATTGCTTTGGTTTGTGCCCTCTTACTTATCTTGCGTACCAACATATCCGTAAGGGCTTCGCCCCCTGCCGCCGGCCCCCTCTCTCGGAGAATGGGCCATGGAAGAGCTAAGTCATGAGGTCTTGGCGCTGTCGTGAAGCAGTATCGAAACTTCATGCGAAGCCGATTCGCAATCAGCAAAACCAACTGATCACAAGAGGGGTTACCACACCTGGCGATTGGTAAGACGTGTATGGTTTACGGGCTTGGTTACCACACCTTGCGATTAAAGGGCCGAGGGAGTTCTCGCAGTTTGGGTTACCACGCCTTGCGATGGATGTGCGTGAAGGGTGGCACCGAATTTCAGAAATGTGGCAAATCCCCTGTGTTTTTGGACCCTGACCCCGCGGATCTGCGTGAGGGGTGGCACCGAATTTCAGAAATGTGGCAAATCCCCTGTGTTTTTGGACCCTGACCCCGCGGATCTGCGTGAGGGGTGGCACCGAATTTCAGAAATGTGGCAAATCCCATGTGTTTTTGGACCCTGACCCCGCGGATCTGCGTGAGGGGTGGCACCGAATTTCAGAAATGTGGCAAATCCCATGTGTTTTTGGACCCTGACCCCGCGGATCTGCGTGAGGGGTGGCACCGAATTTCAGAAATGTGGCAAATCCCCTGTGTTTTTGGACCCTGACCCCGCGGATCTGCGTGAGGGGTGGCACCGAATTTCAGAAATGTGGCAAATCCCTTGTGTTTTTGGACCCTGACCCCGCGGATCTGCGTGAGGGGTGGCACCGAATTTCAGAAATGTGGCAAATCCCCTGTGTTTTTGGACCCTGACCCCGCGGATCTGCGTGAGGGGTGGCACCGAATTTCAGAAATGTGGCAAATCCCATGTGTTTTTGGACCCTGACCCCGCGGATCTGCGTGAGGGGTGGCACCGAATTTCAGAAATGTGGCAAATCCCTTGTGTTTTTGGACCCTGACCCCGCGGATCTGCGTGAGGGGTGTCGATTTCGAGTCCCCCCAGCAATTCAGACAACGCGCCCAGGGGACGCTAAAAATCCAGTTTGGGCCCCTCGCGCGGTCAATCAACTAGTTACAGTAACCAGCAAGAAGCAAACCTGTAACACTGGAAACTACAAGCTACAACTGGTACAGGAAACTGCGAATCACGGGCCTACAGCCTGGTGGCCCCACAAGGGGGCCGGCGGATCAATATTGCCGACGTCCTGATCCGGATCATCTTCCAGCGTTCGCAACGATCTGACCAACATCGTCCACCTTGGTTCCTAAGGTCGCAGCACCTGTTCTGCCTTCTCAGGGGTATCGCCCAAGAGCTTGTTGACGATGGCCTCGTTCAACGCCTGCATCTGCTTGCTACCGTTCGCCCTTCTGCGGCGCCTGCTGATTGCCGCCACCGCAGTTGCCAGTCCGGTTCACCACCTCGCAACCATATGCTGAAAAGGCTGGAGTCTCGAATGCTCAGCCCGATGAATCTTACCGACATGGAAAGCGTGCCCTTGGGCACGACTGGGGCCTGCTGGGATATCAAAAGTGTGGTGGGTGCAAATCACTGCTTCCACTGCGGTGACCCAGGAAGCGCACAGGCCAGCAGTGGCCGAAGCATGGTTTTAGCCAAAACGGCAACAGACAGACGATTCGACGTGGTCAGGTATTTTACAGACGGAGCTGGGGACGAAACCAACCTGAGCACGAATTTCATTCCAAAGATGCTCTGGTATATCATAACTCGGGCTCGGGGGCTCTCCCATGAGCTCGTCTTGGCTGGTTGGGGCGGGGTTTGAAACGACATCCTGAGAGGGCTGGGGAGTGGGGGAATTGTCTTGCAGGAGCCAATCGTTCCCTGGCCACGCCTCGAGGTCCTCATCAACCTCGCCGTCAGGAGCGCCTAGAAACGACCAGAAACCAGCGGGGCAGATCTCTGAGGGCGCCTCAGAGGTGGTGGCCTCCAAACGATCTCCGAACATAGTGCTGTAAACCTCACTCCTACGCTGATGAGACAAGGCTTGCTTAACCGTGTTTGCGGCCTTGGCCTGGGATGCGTTGGATCCAGGCTTTGCTGCAGCTCTAGGTCTGAAAGGTTGTGGGAGTTTCCCTGGCAGAGATAACATTCGGGTAACCAACTGGGGCCCAGACGAATGGAACTGAACAGCCAGGCCCAAATGTGGCTTCCACGGGACATCCCAAACAGGTGGAGCTTGTTTGATGTACGCCCTGGCCGAGTGGCTGCACATGAAAACATCGGTGTGGGAGCCTTGGCGGCCCGACGTGCAGGTGGTGTCTATCGGGGCCTGGATGACTTGACCCCCTGCCAAATCGATAAACCCCGATCGCCCCTTGCGATTGAGAAGTCATGTTGAATTCTCCTGCTACTGCCCAGGACACCTGGAGTGATGTGAGGGGCGATCCGAGATGGTGGAAGCGGGCGACGTTCGTTCCCGCCATGCCGACCGAAGGATGTGCGTAACAAAAACAAATCACTGCGAGCGAAACGCCTCTGACATGAACGAGGGTCGGGGCGAAGCCGCCCCGGCAAGCGTGACCCTGCGCATGCGATGCGCTTCCGCTCTCACTCGCCAGAAGCTGGCGCGCCTGGAGGTGCCCTCGGGCCCGCAGGCACTGACCTCCCTCCTTTGACACCTGCTGACGAGACTGTGAACCTATCTCGGCTGAAGGGCTGGCCCGATTCGCTTACAACTTGAAATGGCTCGATCTAGCGTTCTTGTCTCTTTCAGTGATATTGGCTGCCGAACTGGGCATTACTTGTGGACTCGATATAACGCCAGCACTTGCCCCCCATGGCAGTGACATAGGCGAAGAAAAACTGCTAGTATGCGACGCACTACCCTCAGACTGTCGATCAGCTTCGACTGATCGGGCGGCAGCCTCTGCCAGTGGCGCTGGCCACCTCGAGACCGCCGCAGACTCCGATAGCCAAGCTTGCGCCGAGGAGGGCTGAGGGCCTTTGCCCTTGCCAATAGTGGGTGCCTGGGTGCCCTGGCCCTTGCCCTTGGCGAAGGCCATGCGCTGCGCCTCGAACTTGGCGGCCGAGAGCTTCGAGGCCGTCTCAGCTATCAGCTTGGACTTGGCCTCGTCGCTGGCCGCCTGCGTGGCCGCATCTGGCTTGGGGGCGCTGGCCGCCGCCTCCGGGGCCTGGAGCGCCTCTGGGGGTCTGCCTCGCCGTTCTTGTTCTTGCGCTTCTTGGCCTGGCGCTTCTCGACCTCCGCCTTGATCTCGGCCGCTTCGGAGAGCTTGGCGCGAACCTCCTCGCTCTTAGCTGACAGCTGCTCTTTGGACCACTTGAGGTCCTCGCGCAGCTGCTCGAGCTGATCCTTTTCCTTGTGATCCAGCTCCATCTCCTACGCGTGATCAAAGACAGTGCCCTCCCAGGTGATCTGGAAGTTGGGCTCCGTGGGATCGGTCTGATACTTCTGGCGGTGGGGCAATACACCTTCAATGTTGGCAAACAACGCTGATGCAATTCGCTTGGCTTCCTCGGCATGTGCTAACGTCTCTGCTGCCAGTTTCCCTTTCTCCTCCGCATGAGAAAAGGAGTTTCTGGGTTTGATGGCATTGTTGACGCTCTGGGTGCGCTTGTGGTCGGCATCCTTCCAAGCTCCAACTGCCTTGCGCACCAACTCGATTGCCAAGCGTGAGTTGACGTCCGACGCCGCGGAGGGGAAGGACTGCAAGTGGGCGGTGCGTTTCTGCAACATTTCGTTGAGCTGCTCGTCGGTCGTGGTGGTCACAAGCTGCTTGAGAGACGTGACCTCGTCAAATCGCCTGGTATTGAAGCTTGGGTGCTGTCCGCAGTCTCCGTCTTCGTGTCAGATGCTGCGCGAGGCTTGTACAGGTGAACTTCGCGGCCGCATTTGAAGCACTTGCGCTGGTTCTGAACCAATGCAGTGTTACACTTGAAGCGGCCGCACGCCTTGCACTGACTCCAACTGTTCTGACAATTCTGAGACTGCACCTTCGAAGCGATACCCACGGCTGCTGACTCTCTCTTTTGCCACCGCAAGTGGCAAGCCAGAAAACTGGGGCGTGCGCGATGAACCTCAAGCGCCTCGGGACGGCACGAGAGCGGCTCAGGCAAGCTGCTTTAGCCCAAGTGGCTTGAGGCAGTGGGAGGGAGGAGGAGGAGGAGGAGGAGGAGGAGGAGGAGGAGGAGGAGGAGGAGGAGGAGAAGAGAGGGAGGAGGAGCAGGAGGAGGAGGAGGAGGAGGAAGAGGTGGGGGGGGGGATGGTGACGAGAGTAAGAGGAGGTGATTGATGATGATGATGAGATGATGAGATGATGATGATGCTGATGATGATGATGATGAACGATGACGATGACGATGATGATGATGATGCTGATGCTGATGATGCTGATGATGATGTGATGATGATGATGATGATGATGATGATGATGGTGATGATGATGATGATGATGATGATGATGATGATGATGATGATGCTGATGATGATGATGATGATGAGGAGGAGGAGGAGAGAGGAGAGGAGAAGGAGAGGAAGAGGAGCAGGATGAGAAGGAGGAGGAGGAAGCAGAGGAGGAGGGAGGATTAGAAGAAGGAGAAGGAGGAGGAGGAGGAGGAGGAGGAGGTCGGTTGATGGGAGGGGGAGGGATCTCGCTTGCGGTGGACCACGCCATCGTCGCGTACGCCGTGGCGGTCGTAAGTCTGGGAGCGTAAAGGTCCCAGCCAGCCACTGCTGAGCGGGTTGCGGCGGCTTCCGATCTGCGTGCTCGGGCGCTCTCTGGTGCAGACGCGTCTGCCGCGGAAAGAGGGGGAGGGAGGAGGGAGGAGGAGGAGGAGGAGGAGGAGAGAGGAGGAGAAGGAGGAGGAGAGGAGGAAGGGAGGAGGAGGAGGAGGAGGAGGAGGAGGAGGAGGAGGAGGAGGAGGAGGAGGAGGAGGAGGAGGGTGGGCAGATGGGAAGGGGGGAGCGAGCTCGCTCGCGGTGGACAACGCCATCGTCGCGTGCGCCGTGGCGTTTCAGCCCCAGCCAGCGCGCCCCCGTCGCTCTGGGGCCAGCCACTGCTTAGCGGTGTGTCGGTTCTGGGATTGTCGTGCTGCGACGGCTTCCAATATGCATGCTCGAGCGCTCTGGCAGACGCGTCTGCCGCGGGGAGGGAGGGTGGAAGGGATGAGGCGAAGGAGGAGGAGGAGGAGGAGGAAGAAGAAGAGGAGGTGGCGAGGGAGGAGGAGGAGGAGGAGGAGGAGGCGGAGGAGGAGGAGGAGGAGGAGGAGAGTGAGGAGGAGGAGGACGAGGAAGGGGAGGGACGAGGAGGAGAATAATGGGGAGGAGGGGGAGAGTTGGCGGATGATGATGACGATGATGATGATGATGATGAATGATGATGATATGATGATGATGATGGTGATGGTGATGATGGTGATGTGATGGTGATGGTGATGGTGATGGTGATGGTGATGGTGATGGTGTGATGTGGTGATGTGTGGTGATGGTGATGGTGATGGTGATGGTGATGGTGATGGTGATGGTGATGGTGATGGTGATGGTGATGGTGATGGTGATGGTGATGGTGGATGGAGGAGGAGGAGGAGGAGAGGAGGAGGAGGAGGAGAAGGAGGGAGGAGGGAGGAGGGAGGAGGAGGGAGGGAGGGAGGAAGAGGAGGGAGGAGGTGGGAGGAGGGGGAGGGGGGAGGAGGAGGAGGATAAAGGAGGAGGAGGAAGAAGAAGGAGAAGAAGAACAGGAGCAGGGGAGGAGGACAGGGTAGGAGGGAGGTTGAGGAGGAGGAGGAGTAGGACGAGAGGTGGGGGGAGAAGGAAGTGGGGAAAGACCCGGAGGGAGGAGGAGGTGGAAGGTGGAAGGTTGAGGAGGAGGAGGAGGAGGAAAAGAAGAAGAAGAACGGGAGGAGGAGGAGGAGAGAGGAGGAGGAGGAGGAGAGGAGAGAGGAGGGGGGGAGGAGGAGGAGAAGGAGGAGGAGAAATAGGGGAGGGAGGAGGGAGGGGGACGAGGAGGGAGCTGGAGGAGAAGAAGGAGGAGTAGGTGGCGGAGGAGGAGGAGGAGGAGGAGGAGGAGGAGGTGGGTTCTGGTTGAGGGGCGCCCGGGAGGCCGAGGCTGACGTGCCCGCGGCGGGCCTGGCGTGCGGCGTGGTGGGCAGCCTGATGGCGGTCCGCGAGATCGACATGATCGAAGATGAGGAGATCGGGGAAGGCGAGGAAAGGGGGTCGTCGTCGTCGTCGTCGTCGTCGTCGTCGTCGTCGTTGTCAGCGTCAGCGTCAGCGACAGCGTCAGCGTCGGCGTCAGCGTCAGCGTCAGCGTCAGAGTCGGCGTCGTCGTCAGCGTCTTCGTCGTCGTCGTCGTTCAGGTCGTCGTTCAGGTCGTCGTCGTCGTCGGCGTCGGCGTCGGCGTCGGCGAAGGAGGAGGATTAGGAGGAGGAGGAGGAGGAGGAGGAGGAGGAGGAGGAGGAGGAGGAGCCCGCTCTCCGCGACATGATCGAGGATGAGGTTCTGGGAGGAGGGCGAGCCGTGAGATCCGGGCGTTGCAGTGTCTTCACGACGGGCGTTTCGCCCAGTTTCGGGCCGCCCCGAGAGGTTCCGACCCAGACATGGTCGCGTCGCAAAAAAAATCAGGACGGGAGGTTTGTGCTTATGTTCGGCCTCCAGGGTTCTTTCTTGGGCCTCGGGATCGCCAAAAACGACTCAGGATGAAAAGTCGGTTCCAGGGAAGGGGTCGAGGCCTCTCGGGGTCGACGTGAAAGAATCACGGCGTCGGGGGTCCGCGACAGGCGGGTTTGGGCTGTTTCCGGGCCCTGGGGGCCCTCGCCGGGCCCCGGAGCTGTCAGTACACGACCCAGGATGGAAAAAACTGGCCCCAGAGAACGGGTCCAGATTTCGGGGGTCGGCGAATCGGAAAAAATCCAGACGTCGCACGTCTGGGAAGGGCTTCCGTGGCCCTCTGGCTCGAGCCGCTCTGTCTCGAGCGGGCCGCCGCGGCCGCGGGGTGGGGGGTCGGCCCCGGCCTCCTGCTGGCCGGTGGGGGCAGGGAGGGGGCCTCCTCTCTCGCTGCCCCCGCCTCTCGCGCCGTGCCCGCGCCTCCCACACCGCTGCGGGCTGGGCCGCCCGGCCTGTGCACCGGCTCTGCCGCCGCCGCTGCCGCCAGCAGCCCCTTGGCGGCGTGGCGCTGCTGCTCGGCGCTGCCGCTGCCGCTGCCAGCGCCTCGCCGGCGGCGGCGACGCGCGGCGGCCGCTCGGACGCTGCCGCGGACCCCCCACCGCGGGCGGACCGCGGCCCGGCGGCGCCGCCAGCGGTCGGGCGCCCCTCGCTGGGCGCGGCGGCGGCTGCTGCTGCTGCTGCTGCTGCTGCTGCTGCTGCTGCTGCTGCTGCTGCTGCTGCCGCTGCAGCTGCCACTCGTCTGCGGCGGCCTGGGCGGCGGATGGCGTCGACCTTGCTGCTGCTGCTGCTGCTGCTGCTGCTGCTGCTGCTGCTGCTGCTGCTGCTGCTGCTGCTGCTGCTGCTGCTGCTGCTGCTGCTGCCAGCTCCTTCGGTGCGGCGCCGGCGGCGGCGGCACCCGCGGGCTGCGGCCCCGCTGCTGCCCCCCGCGGGGCGGCATGAGCCGCCGCCGCGTTGGCATCTGCTGCCGCTGGCGGCACCGCCTGTCCTGCTGCCGGGGCCGCAGCCGCCCGCGTCGCCGAGGCGGCCTGGGGCGCCGTAGCGGTCTCTGGAGGCCGCGGCCCGCGGCGGCGGCGCAGCCGAACGGTTCGGCGCCGGGCGGGCTGCCGAAGGTCGTCGGGGAGACAGTGGTCAGCAACGAGAACGGGGAGGAGGCGGCGCTCGTGGAAGAGGCGGCGGAGCCAGGACAGCTGGGAGCGCCTACGCAAGCATCCTCGCCAGAGCGGCTTGGAGCGCCCACGCCAGCACCCTCGCCTGCGCAGCCGGGAGCACTGACGACAGCCTCCTCGCCGGCACAGCTGGGAGCACCAACGGCAGTATCCTTGCCAACGCAGCCAGGATCGTTGGCGCCAGCATCGTCGCCAGCACAGCCGAGAGCACCGACGCCAGAACCGTTGCCAGCGCAGCCAGGAGCACCGAAGCCAGCCTCCCCGCTAGCTCAGCCGAGAACACTTTTTTGATCTGCAGGGCGAGAGCGAACCTCTTCCGCTGAAAGCTAAGCGGGACGCGCACAGCTTTACTTGGCAGAGAAAGGGCGGAAGAAGGCGGGGCCTCACGCGGCCAGGGGCGGGCGAAGCCCAGGGATCAGGCGGTGCCAAAGGGGACGTGCAGGAAAAGGTACACCTTGGACAGGAGCCCGGTGGTGAAGTCCCAGGGAGAAAAAAGCCGGTGGTGTGGCCGTCAGCCGCGCTTCGAGAACACCAGCCTCACATACTGCGGGAGAGGACGCGCCTCTTGACCAGGTCGACGTCCGAGAGGAAGAAGAGCACCACGGAGTTGGAGAGCAACGTTGTGCCACCAAAGTGATGTCAGGAGTACCAGTCGTGGTAGTCCACTCCGCGGACATGGGGACCCGCAGCATGAGGCGCGGCAGCCAGGCGAACCGTGAACTTGCCGCCGAGGACCGACAGGATGCCGGTGCGTTGCAGGGAGAAAGTCTGCCCTGCGCCGGCAAGCGCGTGAGGACGGGCGGAACCCACACACGATGCGCTGCCGATCCGCAGTGTCAAGGGCCGGGCCTGAGCCGCGCAGCGCCAAGATCAGCGGGGCCGCCGAGGCGGCAAGGAGCAGGCGCCCGGCACCGGGCCGGAGCCGCGCAGTGCAGGGCGCTGTCGCCATGGGAGGGGGGGTAGCGAACGGGGGGGGGAGAAGCGGGCAGGAAGGAGAAAGGCCAGCCCAGCGAGCCAGCCCCCGCGCCGGAGGTAGCACGCGGCCGGGTGGATCAGGGCACCCTGCGGGATCAGGAGGGACTAACGGTACCATTACCAGTTGAAAGAAGGGGGAGGGAGGAGGATGACGCGGACGCCGCCCTGCCGAGCAGGGAGTTCGGGCGGTCTGGATCAGGTAGGCCCAGCGCATCAGGGGGACTAACGGTCCCAAATCCAGGTGGAAAGCGGGGGGGAGACGGGGGGCGGTAGCCGAATGCGCGGCCCAGCCGCACACGTGAGAGCCCATTCCCTGCGCCCGTATTGGACGGCCGAGCCCGTGGGCTACCGGGCTTCTGCGGACGGGCGTTCAGTCCCAGCCCTGGTCGGATCAGGTGTGGGATCGGGGGGACACACGGTCCCAAGCGCCAGCAGCCTCGTCGGCACAGCCTGGATCACCGGCGCCAGCATCCCTGCCAGTGCAGCGGGAGGCGGTGGCGTCAGACCCTCGCCGGCTCGAGCGAGACCGACGCCGGCATCCTCACCAACTCTTGCACACGCCTCAGACGAATGTGCGCGGCGCTAAAGGCGACAGCTGCATGCTGAAAGCGGACCGCCCTCCATCCGCGAAGCTGCTACAACTTTCAGACTTCAGGGTCGTACATGGTGGGGAAGTCTTTGGCGAAACGCCTGGCCTGACCGTTCGACCAGCCTCGAGGTGCGACAGGGAAGAGTTGCTTATGACGGAGAGAGATGGGGGAGGAGGAGGAGGAGGAGGAGGAGGACGAGGACGAGGACGAGGAGGAGGAGTTGCGGGGGGATGAGTGATGATGAAGATGAAGAGTAAGATGAGGATGGAGATGCATATAGAGACAGATACGGAGATGATGATGATGATGATGATGATGATGATGATGATGATGATGATGATGATGACGATGATGATGATGATGACGATGATGATGATGCTGATGATGATGCTGAATATTATGCTGATACTGATTATGATGATGATGCTAATGCTGCTGATGATGATGCTGATGCTGATGCTGATGATGATCATGACGATGGTGCTGATGGTGACGATGATGCTACTGCTGCTGCTGCTGCTGCTGCTGCTGATGATGATGATGATGATGATGCTGACGCTGCTGCTGATGATGATGATGATGATGATGATGATGGTGATGATGGTAATGATGCCGGTGATGCTGGTGATGGTGATGATGCTGATGTTGGTGATGGTGATGGGAACGGTGATGTTGATCATGATCATAATGAGGATGTTAACGATTACGATAATGATGCTGATTTGGTTGCTGTTGTTGGTGATGATGATAAGGATGATGATGATAAGTATGATTATGGTGCTGATGAGGATGATGACAATGCTGATGTCAATGATGCTGACAATGATGATGATGATGATGATGGTGATGATGATGATGCCGATGATGATGATGATGATGATGATGATGATGATGATGATGATGATGATGATGATGATGATGATGATGATGATGATGATGATGATGGCGGTGGTGATGATGATGATGATGATGGCGATGGTGATGGTGATGGTGATGATGATGGTGATGATGATGATGATTATGATGATGGTGGTGGTGATGATGATGAGGAGGAGGATGAGGATGAGGATGAGGATGAGGATGTGAGGATGAGGATGAAGAGGAAGAGGAAGAGGATGAGGAGGAAGAGGAAGAGGAGGAGTAGGAGGAGGAGGAGGAGGAAGAGGAGGAGGAGCAGGAGGAGCAGAAGGAGCAGGAGGCAGGAGGACGGAGGAGGAAGGAGGGAGACGCCTGGCAACACCCGACTGCAGGATGATGGGGCGGGCCCTCCGCGCGGGTGTTGCCAGGGGTCCCCTCTCCTCCCTTCCCCCTCCTCCCTCCTCCGTCCGCCTCCCCCCTTCCTCCTCCTCTGCCTCCCTCACCCCTCACCGCTCCCTCGTCCTCCCTTCCCCCCCCCTCCCTCCCTCATCCGTCCTCCTCCCCCCTTCCTCCTCCTCCTCTGCCTCCCTCCACAATTACTCAATATGTACTACTCTCCCTCTTCCCCTGATGACGGTTTGAAAGTATTGGCCCCCCCCGCGTACTGTTTTTTACACAGGATTCCCCGGAGTTGGGTTTTCGCCTGCATTTGTTTCCAAAATGCTGCTCTCGCTGAGGCGCCGGCCTCATTTTCGGGCCCCGCTCGTTCCGAATCGTGCTCCCGCTGCAGCGCTGGCCTCATTTCCGTGCTTCCGCTCGTTTCGAATCGTGCTCCCGCTGCAGCGCTGGCTTCATTTCCGCGCTTCTGCTCGTTCCGACTCATGCTCCCGCTGCAGCGCTGGCGTCATTTCCCGTGCCATGCCACGGCATGCAATGC